TTTAAAGCTGTCTATGCCTCTGGCCATCACCATATCCTCTGGCAGTGAATTCCACATTTCTATTGCTGTGCAAAGATTACTGACAGTCTGAGTGGACAAATACTGACCTTAATGGACTAATGGTCTGATTCAGTATAAAGGCAGCTTCATGAGTCTTCCTTGCAGCCAAAAATTCAGGTAACAGCAGTTCAATCTTTATTTTGTTGGATTCTAACTTGACATGATGAAGCAAAGTGTGAAAAAGTGCCGCAAGTGTGTACACGTTACACCAGTGTGCCATGTTCTGTACTGGCTTTCCATCACCTTCGATGTACTCTGTGGATAGGGCAACCTATTTAGGTCTCTCCAACCCAATTAAAACTTCCATAACTGGGTAAGAACACAGACCTTACTTAATGCCACCAAAATCAATGAGACACTACTAAGATTCACAGTAGGGCCCTGAGCTGGTGGAGCTGGCCAGATATTACTCATTGATCAGTATGCCATCTAAAGCATCCAGACAATACACGTTCTATAGAAAAATCGGTTCTTGTATGTTGCATCTCCTCTAATTCAAGCCAAGAGAAGGAATTCCTGTACACCCAAATCCTAGGAAGCCAGGCATGTTCCATTTGTTGTCACTGCTTGTTTATATATTAACTTTATACCCTTCTGTGGTGCTGGATGAATTCATTTCTTCATCAGTTGCTTTCTATACTTGCTCTAATATTTAATTAAATGAAGCTTTTAAAACCAATAATGAAATTATGAGAAATAAGGGAGAGGGTGGGTTAGGGGTAAACTTTTTTTTAGTGATGACAACAGTTGGGTCACAAGAAACTGTGAAGAGATTAGGATTAGAAAAATGTGGTCATTAAAATATGAAACCCTGAAGGCTAAAAATTAGCCTGGCTCCTAAATTTTGGGTCCAGCACCTCAAGCCAAAGAATATTTGTCAAGGCCTGATTTTTATAAATGTTTTGGTAGAATTTCATAATACAGAATTTACATTTGGAAAACAAGGAAGAGTCTGTTCTTGTAGAATTTTAAACATGGTATGCGCTCAGCTGGCCACATAGAGACAGACATGACCCTACTGATTCCACTGGAATGACAACCAAACACCAGTGTTCTGCAACTCTTATTTATTGGCAAAGACCAATTTATTTCAAAGCTCAAGAGGTTAGCCAACTTACAATACCAAAAGGTTTCACTTTAGCATGACCTTAAATCTTTTAGTTGCAAGTATGCTTACTGGTTGACCTAAATGTGTTGACCACCCTTCCATGGATTACTGCCTAAACTGCAAGCATAAACTTCATCCATATATTAAAGCCTCAGCATAAGAGAAATTTCTACCAGCTTGAGAAATTTTAAAATTCTTCTCTGAATATGACTCATCCTGACTTCCACCTTCATGTTTATTTCTGATATCAAAACTATAAAAATTGTCACACATAAATATTTCCAAATGCTCAAAATGGCTGATCCTTTGTCCAAGGTAATGGAACTCACGACTGTATCAAGGAACAATGAAGTAAGTACTCCAATATAGTAGGCTTGGCAGACACCACAGGGTCTACATTAAGCCATTACATTGCACATTCCCATAAAGAGGAATGAGGAGACAAATCATGGTACTAAAACAGGGGATGTATCTCTGACTAGTGTGAAGGCTCCAAAGCTTGGCCAATCACGATGCTATGAACAGTTTCGGAAGCTTTGCAAGTTGCCAGCAATAGTCCAGAGCACTGACTCAACATGTTTATTGGATAGAAGCACCATCTCCAAATAGTTTATAAAGCTAACATGTTCAAAGGCATTGTTGACTATGGTTGTAATCCTATGAACATCTACTTCCTCTTCATTCACAAAACTGTCCACCAAGTATACTTTTTGCTTGAAACAACTTAATTAGCACTGGTAGGACAAGATAAGATTGCATCCCCTCAACTACCATGCAGGAATAGAACTCCACACTTACCTGTCCCACACTAAAATATCCTTGGGACAGGTAGAACTCATATGGCATCTCCTAGCTCCTGGACAATTAAAGGTTAAATGCATCTGGCTGATCTACGTAGGTATGCCTTCCTTGCTCTCCCACCAAGGATGGTTCAAGTGCCAGCAGGAAAAGAGGTATTAAATACAGTTTTCCCACCTGACCCACTGGCATCCTCTTGCCTAAAATATCAGTTTATTTTAATTTGTAATCCATCCCTCTTCTCCCAAAGGTGTTTAACAATAACTGATAGAAATAATTCATTCAAGTTAGAAGCTAACAGCTTCCTCAAGGGTCTACATCAACACAGGTAACAGCTGGAAAGACCCCCTCAAATGCTCTAAATCTAGAGTGAAGATGAGCAAACCTCTTTCAGAACTGTGGTGCCATCATGGAAAAAACCCTTGCTCTTTGAGTTCACAGATTTAGGAAGAAAAACAAGCAGGAGGAATTTTGTTCTCAACAAGTGGTTGATATTACCATAACAAGAATGCCAAGGAAACAACTCAGCAACCACTGAACCAAAAGCTTCATATTGTTGCCAATGGGCTTCAAGCTCCTTTCACCATGGCTCTACTAGTTGGTAGAGCCCAATTTGTCACACATTTTAGCAGACCAAGTGCAACTTTATTTCACAACCTTTTATCTAGCATATATAACTAGAAAACATACTATACTAACAAACATACTAAAACATAATGATTTGAAACAAAAGTTCACAGTTGAGCATTTACAATCTTGTAACTTTGACAGTTACTCCAAAAATTCCAAGTCCTACTCCTAACGCCTTACTAAAAATTATTCCTATCCTGGAATTAAGGCAATTTCCTTTACAATCAAGAATTTAAGAAGGGATTTCTCTCACCTAGTTTTAAAGATAGTACTAGCTTACTTATCCAACTGCAAAAACACAAGACAGTATTTATAAGTTGGGATAAAAGATTAACATGATTTTGCTCATCAGCGATATCTGCCAAATAAAACATGGAAGAGTACAATAGTAAAACAGCTCTTTTTAACAATTGCAGCCACTCACAGGCAGAAGAGAATCAGAGAGAAAAATGTCTATGCTCTATCGTCCTTTATAGATAGTTGCATTTTATCTTCAAGGTCATTTTACAACAGAAAATATGCAACAAAAAGAAAGAGACCTCAGTCAGCTAAGGATTTGCATGTGTGGCTCAAAACTGTTTCATGAAGTTCTGCTGGAAGCCTGAAGGGGGTGCTGGTAGTTGATAAAGAGCTTGGGGGTGAAAGCCTGTAGGCTGTGAGTTATACTATGCATATTCTTACTTAATGTTTTTACTACCAAACATGGAATACCAAAGAATGTCAAATATGTGCATTCACTATTAAAAAAAAAAAAGGAATAACCCTTCATTACATACAAGTAGTACACTCATGATAAGGTCATTAAGAGAAAGCAAATAAAAGGGCTGCTCCAGTCACAAGCCATTAAGAGGGCCAATTATTTATGAAACAGAAATGCATTACAATTAAGTATTTTCTGCAGCTTTGTTTCTGAAAGGACAACACCAATTTTAGATACTAGCACAGTACAGGGAAGGGTGGAAAAGGCTGGAAAACTGCATAGCTCTGCCACCCTGTTCAGAGCCAACACTTTGGCTAATATCAGGTAATGAGCCACATCCCAAAATAAAAGAAATGGCCCTGAGCATTCTGCTAGTGCAATACCTATTTAATCACCGCCAACATTTTGGTGCATCGGCCACCCTTCCCCCATGCCTAGGAAGATAGATACGAACATTCCAGTCAAGTCTCTCAGCAGAGGTCGCCCTACTTGCCACCCCCTCCCCCTCAACAAGGCCTCACTAAGCTTCCCGAATCTTTTGGACTCTCCGTTCATTATAATGTACACAACAAATCAAAAGGAGACAGCTTACAGAGCAAAGAGCCATACCCTCAGTTTCATCTCCCCCACATACATACAAATACAGCCTTTCCTCGGTTTGGGAAGGGAGAACGAGAAAAAAAAGGGAAAATACAACAGAAAGGTAGTAAAAGATGAAAGATTAAGAAGCAGAGGCAAAATGAGCTTGACGGAGGGATGAGGGACAGCGTCAGCCATGTTTTGCTTGTGTGTGATGTGTGGGTACAGTATTTACAAACCTGCAGCTGCAGCAGCTCTTGAAGTCTGCGAGGGAAGAGAAAGGAGGAAAGATGGTGGGGGGGAGGGGAAGAGGGAGGGGGAAAGGGACAAGAAGGAAAGGCGAAAAGCAGGAGAAAGAAGGAAGGGAGGAGAGACAGGCAGCAACAGCAGACAAAGGAACCCAGAAAAGCCACACACACACACACACACAGAGCTGTTCCAAGAGGAACTGTGCTGCGTGTCTGCGACTTTCGGCCACACAGTAATTGGGGGAGGTAGAAGCATATTCTCTCTCGCGCGCGCACATTTTCTCCCCCATCCCCAAACGGGGCTGTGGCGGATCTTCAATCCCAGAGACCACGGAGAAGGGGCCACAGTAAAAACAGAGCTGGGGCTGAGAGGGCACCCCTGCAGGGGCCCCAGCTTGAACACACAATAGCGGGAAGGAACCAGAACGTACAGGCGAAATATTCCGGGGGGCGGGGGGGGGAGTGAGAGATTGAACAGGGGCTGAGAAAAGCACGGGCAGAGCCTGGCACCTCCCTGCCGTCCCCTCCCCCCAAAGGAGGAGCAATTAGGAGGAGCAGAGTCGACTCCCGCTCACCCACCAGGTTAGAGGGTTCCCCTCTGGCCTCCCCCCCCCCTTTCTGGCAACAGCTTCCGGGGGGGAAGAAGCCGAGAGAAAGAAGGGGGGAGGAGCAGCGCGGGGCCGCCGTGAATGAATAATAAATAACGCCAGCCCCAGGGGAGGGGAGGAGGGAAAGGGAGCGGCGGCGGCGGCGGCGGCGGCTCCCCCCCAGCCACTCCCTCCGGTTGTGGCCGGTACTGACGGGCCGGGCCAAGGGCGGCGCGGCAGCACTCGTTCCCCCCTCCCCTCTCTCCTCGCTCCCGCTCTCTCTCTCTCACCTGCTGCCCAAGCCTGCTTCTCGGCCGCCACCTCCTCCACCCGGGCGGGCGTGAGGTGCCCGGAGGGGGGGCGGCTTCTGCGGGGGTGCCAGTGCTGCAGAGGCTTCGTCACCCCCGCTGGCCCGGCCAGGCCGCTGAGCTCGTCGGCGGCGGTTGCTGCGGCTCCCCTTGTCTCGCTTGGCCCCCTCCTTCTCCGCCGCTGCTTAGCCCTCCTCTCCCTTGCCACATTGGGAGCCTCCCCTTCGCCTGCGCGGGCGCCGCTGCCTGAAGAGAGGCCTCCTCGCCTTCCTGCCAAATAGTGAGCCGCTCCAAACACGCGGCCCCGCCTTCCTCCTTTCTGCAGCACGCAGGCGCACTTCGCCCAATGAACTGCGACAGGAGAGCGGCGCCTCAGCCTGCCTCGCTCGCCTCCCTCCTGGCGGCCTTGGGGCGCTTGCGCGGCCTGAGCTTAACTCGGTAGCTGTGTGTGGATGAGGGGAACGTAACTTCGCTCCTCACCCCTCGCAGGGAAACAGCTGGAAGGGAAACCATCTCTAACGTGCGCTAGCCCCCTCCCCCTTTTTTGTCTGTGTACGATATTGTAGTCCGGTCCCCGGAATAAAAAAATTCTCTCTACTAGTTAGTATCAGAAATGTGGCAGGACCAAATGTACATCACTCTTGTTTTGTGGGAAAAGAAAGTTAACCAAAAGCCAAGTTATGTACGCCCGTCACTGACTCAGGGCTGCTTCCCACACTTGGCTTTTCCTATGGGAAAGACGGATGCTGTTACCACGAATACTCCAAAGTATGACAAAAAGTTTTACCCGTAGTAGTAGAAAAGAGCAAGAGTCCAGTAGCACCATGACCATTAAGCAGTGCCTCAAGATGGCTTATACCCTACCACAAATTTTGTTAGTCTTTAAGGTACTAGTGGTCCTGCTCTTTCTACCACTACAATCAAATACAGCTTCCCATCTTGATCTTTTAAATGTATATTATGCATACACCCAATAATATATACACATAAGCAATTTTCATCTGATGTACTGCACATGCATTTACACTATTCATAGCCATGTGTGAAATGTGACACTTGACAATATATGGTTTTCATGTTGTTTCCTTCCCAAATATACTCTCCCACCTTGAAAACATTTAGCAGTGATCTTTGTAAATTAGGCCTTGTAACCAATTTGAGGCTTAATTTTTAATTTACAGTTTGTGAAAGTTTAGAGCTTAAGCTAAAAACTTAATTCCTAGCTGCACCAAAGATTGCAGATAAAATCTTTCTAGTCTGAAGACCAATTCACATAATGGTGTTAGACAGCTAACAAGACAAAAGACTTTTTCCTGTGACACTCCACCATTTGGTATCCAGTTACTAATGCTTCAGGGAGTGGGGTGTTAGAGAAACTTAAAGGAATACCTGCCTTGGTGAGATTGGGAGAGAGCCTTTTGAACTAAAGGAAATTTCAGCAGGTTTTTAAATGCCAGTTTTTGACACAGAGAGGGATGGGGGTGGGGGAGAGGGTTGATCAAATCAGCTTTTCTGCTAGTGAAAAAGGAAGGAAGGGTTTCCTTTGTTCACCAAAAAAGGATAGGGTTGCCACCTCCAGGTGGGGCCTGGAGATCTCCTGCTTTTACAACTGATCTCCAGTTGACAGATATCGGCTCCCCTGGAGAAAATGGCTGCTTTGAATGGTGGACTCTATGGCATCGTACCATGTTGAGGTCCCTACCCTCCCCAAACCCCACCCTCGCCTGGATCCACCCTCAAGGTCTCCAGGTATTTTCAAACCCAGACCTGGAAAAAAGGAGTCTGCTTGGGATCACAGGTTACAAAGGAATAATCATTGTTAGTCTGTTGTCTCAAAATAAACACAACTCTATTAGCATCTTATTTCAATATGAGCTTTCCTGGGTCACTTTGTCAGATAGGTATGTGATAGAGAACCCATACTGGGAGATTTTTAATTGGGCAAGTAGTGGAGGAGGAGCCAACGTTTGGTGTGAATTACACTATGAGCCTTTCAAGTGTAAATCTCAATGTAAGGAAAGAGGAGAAGCCTACAGGGACAAAACCCTTGTATGACGAATAGAGCTTTAGTAGAGAGGGGAACCGGGTAAGATTGAATGGAAAAGGTCCAACCCAGAAGAATGGGAGCCATTGAAGTGATAAAATGCTATATGGTCTATTCTCCAAAGCACCCACTTTTTCTAGAAGAACTGGTCATGGTTGTCTGGAGATCTCCAGGTACCATCTGGGGGGTGACAACCCTAACCATTCTGAATACACCCAGAAATGGAAACCTCAAATATGACAACAAATTAGGCTCCTTTAAACAAAGTGTTGTTGCACTTTCAATTATCTTTTTGGTGTGTTGTTGTTTGTTTTCTTCCTACTACAGGTTACCTTCAAGAATGCCAGCTTCTGAAGCATTCAAGGGCAATTGCTCAGACTGAAGGTGGTTGTTTTCTTGTTCTAGTAGTGAATGGCCTGGCTAGAGGAAATGTTACATTCCCATGACAGGAGTTGATCTCAGGACATACGGATTCTGACCTAGATCACTGAATGTATACTTGCACTGCCTTGAAAAGGTACTAGTAGGGCCTCAGGGATCAAGCAGTACCTGTGGAAGTTTGTGAATTTCTTACAAGCTCTGATTGAAAGTCCTGCAACACTTTCCTTAGTTCTTCTCTGTTCATCTTATCATTAGCTCTACTAGTTAGTATCAGAAATGTGGCAGGACCAAATGTACATCTTCCTCAATGTTTAGAAACAGTGAAGGGGAAGCTGGCTTGGTAACAGGAGGGGGCAGAAGAATGTGAAAAAAATCTGGTAGTTGATACATCAATGAACAATGGGGCTGAGGGATACTGATGACTATGAGGAAAGTCATAGCTCTAGACGGTCTTTGAACAGTTTAGTTTGATATAAGACAATTTCAGAGTTTTGAAGGAAGAATGAGCTATCAAGTTCTATGGGGAAGGGATTCTGATGAGTAACTGTGTGGGTCTGAAGCAACAGAACAAAGTTTGAGTCCAGTGGCACCATTAAGCCCAACAAACTTTCTGGGTATAAGCTTTCGTGTGCCTGCACACTTCATCAGATACATTGAGACAGTTTTCCTCAAGGCTTACATATAGATAGGGGGGTAGTTGCCGGGAAGGGCTAGTTAGAGTCAGGATGCATAAGCAACTGGGCAATAAGTATAGCCAGGGGTCATTTCGTAGAAAAAGAGGTGCAGGAGCTCATTAGCATAACTAATCAGCATACCTTATTTGCATATGCCACACACCCTGACATCACCAGAAGTGTGTCAGAAGGCAACACCCACCGCTTAGGCTCCACTGGACTGTTTTGGATTGCTAGCTATGGGGCGGGGGGGGGGACATGCAGATCTGTCCTCGCAGAGGAGGGAGAGCTTGTACCTGAATAAAACTTGGTCTTAAAGGTGCCACTGGACTGTTTTGGACTGGGTGGGGTGGGGGCTCTGTAGCTTACCCAGCTGCTTCTTGCTCTGATTGAGGGCTGCTGGGAGCAGGGGGTGGGGCTTGTTGCATGTGCCCGCCCCCTGGGCTCTTTCCTGCCGGAGCTCCGCTCCTGTGCGCTCCTGCAGGAAATTACCCTTGAGTATAGCTGAGATTGGATTAAAGCAGCTGTGAATGGCAGCAAATTAGCAGTCAAGTGCACCACTAATGAGAGGGCTGAGACTGAGAGAGAGCAGGCCACAGAAAATGTACCTGGGTGGGACGGTGTAAATTCTTGTAGAATAAGTGGGAGGCCCGACTGGGCCGCCGGTGAAATACCACTACTCTGATCGTTTTTTCACTTACCCGGTGTGGGGGGGAGTCCCGAGGGGCTCTCGCTTCTGGCTTGTGCAAATAAAATGCAAGAATGTAAAAGGGCTTTGAATAAGAAATAGTGGGCTTTCAGAGGTCTACAATATACTAAAAGTTCCTTAAACTGGCCCCTTTCTAGCTCTTGTACTGTATTACTCAGACAAGAATGAGTGCAGTGAAAACTGATTCAGGTGAGTAGCCATGTTGGTCTGAAGCAGTAGAACAAAGTTTGAGTCCAGTGGCACCTTTAAGACTTTGTTAATCTTAAAAGTGCCACTGGAGTCAGATTTTGCAGTGAAAACTGAGATAGTTTTATTACTAAGTTTAGACCTTTATTTCTTTGATTTCTGATATTTTTAAAAGCAATGATCTTGCAATATGAGAACTACCAAATTGGATTATGTACTGCTTCACTCAATGCATAATGAAATTGGGGAATCCATTGCTAGTGGATGTAGTAATGGCCATTAGTATAGATGGGGATTATTAGACAGATTCATGGAGGAGAGGCCTACCTAGCCACAGTTGCTAAAAGGAACCGCCATTTCCAGAGGCAGAAAACCTCTGAACCCCACTGCTAGGAGGAAACATCAGTAAATGGCCTTGGTTTCCACGCCCTCTTTGTAGGCAGATTACACACTAAATTAGTACAGGCAACAAAATGGGACACTCACAGTACTCCCCACCTACAAATGAAAGGATGCCACAAATTTCAGGTGGGGGGGGGGCAGTGAAGGATAAGCTTTCTGAAGTTGGCATTAGCAAATTTTACTAGTTTTGGGGTCTGAATTACCCACAATTTAAAGCTTTTGATTCTAAAATTCTGTCTATGTTTGGGACAACATACATTGGTGAAGAGCTCTTTTCTGCAATAAATGTCAATAAAAGTACCTTGTCAGCTTACAGATACATACCTAAATTGCATACTCAAAATTGCTGCAGCACAGATGTTGATTCCAGATTTTGATGCAATAATTCAGAGCAAGAGGTGTCATTAAAGACTGTTAAATAAAGGGAATACTCTTAAGAGTGTTAATGTTTTAAGCATGTTTGTATTTTGAGTAAAAAATAATATTGTTAATTGGGTTTGCCTGTGTTCTTTATAAAGTTTATATCTCCCGTACCTGGCATTACATTTTATGGCACACATGGGCCGGTCTGACAAAGTGACATTTATATCAGATCTGGCCTTCATAACAAATGAATTTGACACCTCTGGTTTAAAGGTTTCTGCTGGGTTCAGCTTTTG